AGGAGAATAAAAATAGAATACGTTGATATTCCTTAGCAGAAGACAGACCTCAGTTAGACTTCGGGCTCTGTTTCCTGGCTGTGTGACCTCGGGCCGTTCACTGAATGTTCTTCAGCCTCAGTTTCCTTGTATGTAAAACGGGAACAATAACGCCTGCTGCCTTCAAAGGGTTGCCACGAGACAATCTCTTCCATTCTGTTTTATTTATTTTTTCTTTCTGATATTCTCATTTAATGCCATTACCCTTTTTTTTTTTTTTTTTTTTTTTTTTGTCCTGCAGTGGGAGTTGGATACTCTTTCTTTCAAGCATGTAAACTTTTTTCAAAAGGTACTCATCTTTATTACTTCGGTCCATTTTCTGAGTTTGTGCACACGTGAAAAACCAGTTTGACGTCTAAAGCCAGCAGCAATTTATTCTTGAATGTTGCCTGCAATTAACTTTCTCCCGTTTCTCATAACACGCATCCGTTATTCTCTTAGCATTCAACTTACCTGGGAAAACGACTCTAAACTCCCATTTCATCGAATGACCGCTCGTAAAAAGAAACCAGGGAAACCAATTGGCGATGTTAAATCAAGGTTTCTTTCATTTTAGCGACTCGGGTGTCATCCACAGTACAGCTATCTATTGGGAGCAGCTTAGATTGGCTTCAACTTAAGACTGCCTCATGTATTTATGAGGAAGAAGGCAGCTTACCGAATAAATGAGATGGATGGATAAGTGATTTTACCCATTATTTATCATGGTTTCGAAGTGAAATCAAAGCATTATTTACGTTGCAGGCATTGCTACGCCAAACATACAAGATTTGGTCCAATCAGGTTGTGTTCGTTTTTCATACAGTGCGTCAAACTGGTTTTTTGGGGGGGGGGGGGTTGATTTTGTTTATTTTTATTAATTTGCGTCAGACAGGATCCCATACCTAGCGCAGTGCTGGCACCTAGCAGGACGCGATAAGTGTTTGTTGAATTAACGATTTACTACAAAGGGTACAAGTTAGTGAAGAACATTGTGAGGGGTGACATGTGGTTTGAGCTGCAAAACTTGTAGCTCTAGTCTACACGCTTCGGACGTGGCATTTACAATTCACCTCCTTGAATTTCCTATAGGCAAGTCAGATTCCACATGCAAACCTTCTTTCCAACCCCACTGTTAGCCCTCACTGCCGCGTCCTTAATCCCAGCTAACATCTGTTGCCTTGACAACCGCAGCTGTCTCCCTGCCTCCCCAGATGCCCCTACCTGTCTTGCCTGTTGGATTTTACAATACTCTTCTCTCTCTGGGATGCTAGTCGCTTCCCTCTCCCTTTCCCCTTTGCTAGCTCCTCTTCTTCCAGCAGATTTCCTGTCTCTAGTCCATTCTCTTCAGGTAAGCTTTTCTTTCCTGCCTTTCT